GATATATGGAGGATAATCAAATAGAATTTTTTTGTACTGGAAAATGAGTGGATCAGAGGCATACATACTTAATATGAATAGAATGGATGATTATATACTCTGTGTTCTCCTATCCTCAAACCTTCTTTTCCATCCCTTGTATTCCCTTTTACCTTCTGTATTCCCTATCCCATTCCTAGTAGTTTGAAAATAAAAATAATCAAAAAAAATCCATCCTCTCTGTTCATTCCTCCTTCTTAGGTGTGCTGTTGTGAGTTTGTAACAATGAGATGATGAAGGAATATGTATTATTTCCTCCCTTCCTATCTCTTCGTTTACTCCCTTTAGCTGTTTTAATACTCAGCTCTATCTAGGAAGCTTCCTCAAGGCAGAATGTCTAATGCAAAATATTATCAAAATGTAATCTCACTGGGAGTCTTATTTCCAGGTATTAATAGCTCTTTTACAACTTGTAACAAGGATCTGCTGCTTGGGGGTGGCGGAAAGAAACCTCTACCAACCTTCCTCTTTTATTACTGAAATGACAGCAAAATTAAGGGGAAGCGCTTCCTTGTAGGAAGCCCTAATGCAACGTTTTGACTGTTATGTTCCATAAATATGAGCTCTCAGTCTTTACTAGGGTTTTATAGTGCAGAGCACTATAGGTAGCTTGGGAAGCAGTTTGGGAAGCTACTTTGAAAAGTAACAATAATTACAATTTCAAAACCTATTTTAGTTAGTTACTGTCACAGCTACACTTTAAGAATCATTTTCATTATTTAGAAGTAATTATAGCATTTTTAGCTCCATGGGTAGGATACCTGATTGCATAAGTCGGGAGTCCAATTCCACATTGTACCTCCCATGAACAGAGCCAGCCTATGTAGCCTTGGGCGAACTACATGGACCCAGAGTGCCTCCAGTAGGAGAAACTGGTAAATCACTTTGTGGTACTCTATACCTGGAAAACTCTGGAAAATGTCAACTTATGTTTGAATTTATTTGATGACACATTATTATTACTAGGAAAATTATTTATAGTTACTTTTAGAAAAAAAATTAGGGTTCTATGAGCTGATACAGTATATATAATACATTCTTGTCATGAGGCCACACATCCTCTGTAACTTCAAAATTAACAGTTATGCCATGAAAGAAGTTAACTTGTCCCTGTTTATGTTGGATCTTGCAGACAGTGTTGTTCTGTCTCCTTTTCTTGTTGCTTGGTTATGCTTGGTGATGTTAGTAATGGAAGATCATCAGCTGTATTGGGACCCGCATGCGAACACTGTCACTAGAGTTTTAATTCCGTCCCCGATACAACTATTCCAATACCTTTAGTGAGTAGAGCATAGGGGAGGGAGTGTAAAAATAATAAGACAAATTAAGAAAAAACAAAAGCAACACTATTTCTTGTTCAGTGGGCAGGCTGACTTGCTCTTACGGAGACAATAATGAATTTCACAGTCTTGATTTCATTCCTATGAGACCAGCAAGCTTGCATTGATTATATCCTTGCTTTTTCTCCCTGCCACCCTCTTTCTGACACCTAACAGCAGTTGGCATGCACACATGCACGCATGCATGGGCATGGGCATGCACGTGCGCACACACAAATACGCACACACATACACTTGCAGTTTGGAAGTGGGGGAGATTTATTGCAAAAGAAAACTGAATTAGTGCTAATGTTAATGTTTGAAAAGTTGCACAGTGCCAAACTCTTTCCTGGTACAAAGTAGTATCAATCCACCCTCTCCCACCAAAAAACAGGGGTTTGGAGATGGAAAAAATATATACAGGGATTCATGGAAACACTTTTGCATACTGATGTGAAATGTCAAGATGTTGCAGGCATTTCTCTCAAGAAGCCTAGTGAGTTGCACTAGGGCTTCTTACAAATAAAGTGCTCAGAAGTGGTTTCCCATTCCCTTCTTCTGAGAGAGCTCCGGACAGCGCAGCTTGCCCAAGGTCGCACAGGCTGGTTCTTTGAGGGGCGGGGTGCATAGCAGAAGTAAAGGAGCAGAAATGGTTCTTCTGGAAGAGATTTTGATTACATCTTAGTTATTATGAAAAGGAATGATTAACATGCAGCTCATATTTTGTACCTAAGCTACCAACATGAATTTGATGAAAATCCGGGAGGCAGTGGAAGACAGGAGGGCCAGGCGTGCTCTGGTCCATGGGGTCACGAAGAGTCGGACACAACTAAACGACTAAACAACAACCAGACAAATTATGTTCCAGTGCAGAGGCTCTGGTTGCGCCATTTGAGTTCAGAGACTCTCTCCCACCATTAAAACTTTTACAGAAACAAAGCAGTTTTAATGGGGAAAGGCTAAGGGTTTGTCTTTTGAGAATAAAGCAGTCTGGTATGGTATGGAAATGGCACTGGTCGCACTGTTGGATGACCTGTTGAGGGAGGCCGATAGGGGCAATATGTCCTGGTTGGTCCTCCTTGACATCTCAGCCACCTTCGATACCGTCGACCACGGTATCCTCCTGGGGAGGCTCTCCGAGTTGGGAATAGGTGGCCTGGTGCTTGCCTGGCTTCAATCCTTCTTGGAGGATCATCCCCAGAGAGTACAGCTTGGTGAGAATGTTTTGGCTCCATGGAGCCTCAATGGTGGGGTTCCACAGGGGTCGATCATCTCTCCAATGCTGTTTAATATGAGTCTGCTGGGTGGGGTCATCAGGGGGTGTTGGGCATCGTGTCATCAGTATGCTGATAACACCCAGCTCTAATCTCCTTTTCATCTACCTCAGTGGATGCCGTTCCGTTCCTTCAGCACTGCCTGGAGATTATACTGGAATGGATGCAGTCTAATGGGTTGAGGCTGAACCCAGACAAGACGGTGGTCTTGAGGGTGGCCCGTTCCTCTGCCAGCAGTTTGGGTGACTCCCTTTCCTTTGGGGGGACAACCCTCTCTGCAAAGAGCGAGGTTCGCAGCTTTGGGATACATCTGGACCTGGCGCTTACCATGGAAACCCAGGTGGTGTCCGTGGCCCGTTCTATGGCGGATTGCCCAGCTGCAACCATATCTTGACGGGGGAGCTCACTACTCTTGTCCATGTGCTTGTAATCTTGAGGTTAGACCATTGTAACGCACTCTACGTGGGGCTGCCTTTGAGATTGATGCAGAAACTCCAAATGGTGCAAAATGCGGCAGCCAGGCTTCTTAGTGGGGTGAGAATATCAGCATATCTCCCCCAATCTGGCTGCTTTGCACTGGCTGCCCATTCGTTTCTGCATCAATTTCAAAGTGCTAATGATTATGTATAAAGCCCTAAATGGCTTGCAACCTCGATACCTGGCAGATCGCCTTCTCCCACCCAGGTCTACTCGAATCACTCAACAAAGCCAACAGGGATGGCTGAGGGGGCCTTATGCCGAGAGAGGCCCGGAAGGAAAGAACAAGAAACCGAGCCTTCTTGGTGGTGGCCCCTTGGCTATGGAATACTCTCCCAACGGAAATCCATCTGGCTCCCTCGCTGGGTGTTTTTAAAAGCCATTTAAAAACCTGGCTCTTTAGGCAGGCCTTCCCTCCAGTCAATTAACTCATTTTCTGTCTTTACTATCTCGTCTTGCGAATGTATATAGATATTAGTTAGCAGGTTTTTATGTATGTCATTTTATTGTATTTTATTACTCATGTAAGCCGCACCGAGTAGACCTTGTCTAAAGGGGTGTTGTATAAGTTCAATAAAAGTAAAAGTAAAGTATATTGGGTGGGCTTCATTTTGATTCAGACATTAGGATTGCATGGTAATTAAGTGACCTGGATCTTTATATTCACAATGGAAATTCCAGAAATACTAAAGAAAATCCAAAAATTAACACTTGAAGTTCTCAAAACTAAAAGTGAGGCAGCATTGTGTTTTGTAAGTTAGAAAATTAAAATGCTATTTTTTCCAAAGGAAGTTTCTGTTTAGAAATTTTATAGTTTGTTTGTTTGTTTGTTTGTTTGTTTGTTTGTTTATACCCCGCCTATCTAGTCATTTCGACCACTCTAGGCGGCTTACAACATAAAATGACGTATGATTATCAGGTGTTTTAAAGCTTTGTTCATACAAGCAAATAAATCGTTTCTCTTTCTTTCTCCTTTCCCGCACAAAGGTGAAGACGAAGCATGTTGTTTTCTGAGAGCCCTAAGATGTAGAGACTGACATTTTAAAACTCAAGCCAGAAGAGGAGGAGATCTTAAAATAACATCACCAAGACTTACCATGGATTACATGGTGGAAAATAAAAGGAAGCAACAGCATAGTTTAACTTTACTAAATCAAGTAAAACGTATGAAAGAATTAGCAGAAATGACTGATGTGGTTTTAGTGGCTGAAGATGAAAAGTTCCCTTGCCACAAGCTGATGCTGGCTGCTTTCAGCCCCTACTTCAAAGCAATGTTTACCTGTGGCTTGAGCGAGTGTACTCAGAAGGAAGTGGTGCTACAGGACATGTCTGCAGAAAGTGTCTCCATAATTCTGCACTTTATGTACACTGCTGAGCTACACTTGACCAACTGCAGTGTGCAGAGTGTAGCCATTGCTGCTTTTTTCATGCAAATGGACGAGGTGTTTCAGATCTGTCAGGCATACATGATGGACCATATGGATGCTTCCAACTGTGTGGGGATTTATTACTTTGCAAAGCATATTGGAGCTGAAGAGTTGTCTGATCAAGCTAGGAAGTACTTGTATCAGCACTTTGCGGAGGTGAGCCTGCATGAAGAAATATTAGAGATTGAAGCACAGCAATTGCTCATTCTGATCAGATCAGATGATCTGAATGTGTCCAGAGAAGACAGCATCTTGGACTTAGTCCTCCGGTGGGTTAATCATAGCAGGAAACTGCGTGCCGACTACCTCCTTGAGCTCCTGAAGCAAGTAAGGCTGGCACTTGTGAGCCCTTCATTCCTCGTGGAAGCTCGGAAGAGGAACACGATGCTTTTGAGCAATTCCGAATGCAGTGACATGATTGAGGGAGCATTAGAAATGATCAAGAAGTCCAATAAACCTTCTCACAGCCTCCGCTATGGCATGGAGACCACTGCTCTTCTGCTTTGCATTGGCAACAACTCACAGGGCATCAGATCAAGGCATGGCAACTATGTGGATGCCAGCTTCTGTTATGCTCCTGCCACACGCAAGACATACTTCATTTCCTCTCCAAAATATGGAGAAGGCCTGGGATGTGTCTGTGCTGGTGTGGTTAATGAGAACAACGACATCATCGTGGCAGGGGAGGCAAGTGCTTTCAAAATGTCAAGACAAAAGACCAGGAACATTGAAATTTACAGGTTTGTACCCTCTTACATAAGGGGCATAAATACAACGGCATCCCCTTCTGACACTCCCAAATACAACATGAACTCAGAATGGAAGGTTTAAGGACCATTCATTTATGGCAATGATCTAAAACTGTGTGGGCTAAAGCACTTTTTATACCTCAGTGATGTTCTTTCTGACTATGGAGATCAGTGACCTGAGCATGTTTCTTCAGCTTTTACCTCAGATCAATCATTACATAGTGTTCTTTTTTTTTAAAGCAGATATAAGTTAACTCTCTCCACAAAACCCTGCTCTTGTTGTTTCATCACGGCATATATAGCTCTTTGCCAAGCAAAACAACATGCTAGTTTTGCATTTAGGCCTTTCAAAATGCAAAACTGCAAATGTAAAACTCAACGAGTATGTCAGTGGAACATAAGCTCCAGCAGATTCTACCAAACTGCTAAAGCTTCAGTTATAGCCCTTGACGATGTGTGCCATCTAAGAACCATCCGAGCTAAGTATGGTTCAGCTTGTCACTAGGCCTTTGGCCACAGTGGCCAAGATCCTCTTTGTTTTATCTCGCACATTAACAGTTCCATTTTTCATTGGTTGCTTTTTTTCCACTTGTTTTTTAACAAGGTATTCCTTAATACCTTGTACAAGTGGAAAGCTCCATTGTTTTCACCGGGGCGATCTCTGACTCATGCAACTGTGAGCCAGAGATCATGCCCACAAAGATTTTACCTCTTATGATTCCTGTCCGGCTGTCAAATGGCTTAGCAGGTGTAAACACAGTATGAAAGAGTTGTAAGCAACTACCAGTTTTCATTAAATTATAGGTTTTCAAGAGGTAAATGAATTCATAAAAGAGTTTAGGAAATTCTAATTCCAATTTCAGGTTTATAATTCTTTCCCCCTCCCCCCAGGTTTATAGTGGCAATATGTAAGGACACAATGGTGACATCTAGGAACAACAAAACCTCACTAAGGACATTTTGTTGCCCCGTTATAGTACCATTCCTCAATATGGTGCCCTCCAGAAGTTTTAGAGTTAAGCTCCCCTCACCCGTAGCCAGCATAGCTATGAATTATGGAAGAAGTAGTACAAAATACATGAAAGACACAAGGCTGGGAAAGGTTGTGTTATATAATTTATTTCAGTTGGATGGAAAGATGCAGATTGTGCTCTTACTACCAAGTTGCATGACCCTCGCCAAATCTAGATTCAAAAAACTTATAGACATCCGCTTGGCTTCTCCAAGTACATTTATAACAATATATGCATTAAGCATGCAAAATTAAATGGGAACAAAAGCATTATTTATTAACCCATCCACCAAAAACACAGTGAATAGGGCTAGAGTGCCCTCTATGTGTCACATATGATTCCATAGGCTGCTTGGAATGTTCCCTTTCTATGATTGTTTCATCCTTATTCAGTTTCAGGCATTGCAAAATGTATCCTTTTATAGCCCATATCCTGCTTAATCCCTAGGATGGTGAATAATGAAAGACCGCATGCTGTTTTTATTTAGCCTTCTAGGAAAATTATGTCTGCAGCACTGAGAGTAAATCTTTCATGAAGAAGACTTACATTTAAGTAATCCTCGATAGGGTTGTGCTGTACAGTAATACAGTATGCTTGTGCCTAAGATGGAAGAGAAAAGGGATGTGGTTGCGCTGTGGGTTAAACCACAGAAGCCTCTGTCCTGCAAGGTCAGAAGACCAGCAGTCGTAAGATTGAATCCACATGATGGAGTGAGCTCCCATCGCTCTGTCCCAGCTCTTACCAGCCTAGCAGTTCGAAAGCATGTAAATGCGAGTAGATAAATAGGTACCACCACGGTGGGAAGGTAACGGTGTTCCGTGTCTAGTTGCGCTGACCACGTGACCACAGAATCTGTCTTCGGACAAATGCTGGCTCTACAGCTTGGAAACGGGGATGACCACCACCCCCTAGAGTCAGACACGACTGGACTAAATGTCAAGGGGAACCTTTACCTTTACCTAGGATGGAAGGGAGCTAGGAGTAGAGGGCACAGCCTTTAGGCCTAAGGGGCTGGAGACATAGATGGAGGGTACTCAGGCACATGGTGCCTTCAAAAGGAGCAAAGGCTTGAGGCTCATCAATGCAAATGAGCCTTGGCAAGAAATACATAGATGTCCAAGTGAAGATTCTTGGATCCCTCTACATTTCAGCATCCTGGCCTGAGGCCCTGGTTACTCCACCCTAGTTATGGCCTTGGTGCAAGAGCAGAACAGTGGGACTATGAGATGAAGAAATGTGTACAGTGGTGCTTTGCATTACGACGTTAATTCGTTCCAGCTGCTGTAGAACAAAAACGTAATGCGAAAAGAAAAAAACCATTGAAACACATTAAAACCCATTTAATGTGTTCCAAAGGGCTGTAAACTCACCGTCCAGCAAAGATCCTCCATAGGGCGGCCATTTTTGCTGCCTGTGCAGCGAGGAATCTGTCCCAGAAAACAGCGGGGGGGGCATTTTGTTTAACTGGCGGCCATTTTGAAATCACCAATCAGCTGTTGAAAAGTCGTCATTTTGCGAAGAATTGGTTCCCGAAGCAGGGAACCGATCATCGCAAAGCGAAATTCCCCCATAGGAAACATCGTTTTCCCCATAGGAAGTTCATCGTAATGCGGTTTCGTCGTTAAACGGGGCAACCGTAAAGCGAGGCACCACTGTACTTGTACATTTTAAAGTTAAGACTGGTAAGCACAAGGAAAGGGAGAGGCAGCTGAACACACTTGTCTGTTATAGCTCTATGTCAAACAAAACAACATGTCACTTTTGCATTTAGGGCTTCCTTAAGTAGTAAAGGACATTTGAATATCATAGCAGGAGGTTTTTGCAGCCTTGTAAGTTGCAAATTAACTTGCTTTTATTTGATGATCGGGAGATAGGTACAGGGTTCACTTGCAAGTTTGTCCTGCAGTTGTAAGAATGTTGAAGGAAGGCATATGGAAGGATATTTCCCTCTTTTTTTCCCCAGAGCTGGTGTCTTCCACAATTTGGCCCCTACATATGTTGAGGCAATTGACTTCCTTTTTGCAGCCTTGTAAGTTGCAAATTAACTTGCTTTTATTTGATGATCGGGAGATAGGTACAGGGTTCACTTGCAAGTTTGTCCTGCAGTTGTAAGAATGTTGAAGGAAGGCATATGGAAGGATATTTCCCTCTTTTTTTCCCCAGAGCTGGTGTCTTCCACAATTTGGCCCCTACATATGTTGAGGCAATTGACTTCCATTCCTGTTTCCCCCAGAGCTGGTGTCTCCCATAATTTCCCTACATATGTTGAGGCAATTGACTTCCATTCCTGTTTCCTGTTTATGCATGGCTCATTATACAACACACAGAGGTGTATGCCTCTATATGAAGGGTTGGCAACATAGGGCCAATGAGCTTCATGTGGGCCCCTACCCATGTCTGTGGCCCCTCTTCCAGAAGAACAACACACAGAGGTATATGCCTCTATACAAAGGGTTGGCAACATAGGCCCATGTCTGTGGCCCCTCTTCCAGAAGAAAAACTGGTCAGAAAGCAGATTGCTGGTCTTACAAAGCTCCAGGAGAAATTATTTTTCTTTTGTACTGTAGGGCAAAATTGACCTCTGGACCCAGCAGAGTTATCCATTATTGCTCTTTCCATGCTCTCTCTATATTGTAGGCAGTCAAAACACATTGTCACTCTTAATGTAAGGCCCCAACTAATTGTTTCAATTTACAGGAAAGGAGATTGAGTTTCAATATGGAGAATACCTTCCTGACAGTAAGAGCAGTTCAGCCATAGATCTGACTGCTTCAGAGGCTGGTTGACTCTTCTCTACTGGAGATTTTAAGTGAAGGTTAGAGCCACCTGTCGGAGGCTCTTTATCTGTGGATTTCTAGCTTTGGCAGGGGGTTGGACTCGATGACCTTTAAAGGTCTCTTCGGCTCTACAGTTCTATGACTCCATTGTTCCACCAACCCCCTGTCTGTTTAACTGTCTTTTCTGACTTAATATTTCTGTTTAACTCTCTGTTAAAAAAATACAAGTCATGTTTAAACTTAGTGTAAAAGTGGCACCTTGGGAGAGAGGGGATTTGGTGAAAATGCTTTTGAATTGATTTGTCACCATAGCAGTTCTGATATAGGGCTTTCTTGCAGGTACAACAGTCAGGGAAATCGGTTTTGGCAAAGTCTATGCGCTGGGCAGTTTCGTGAGCTCTACGCTTTAGGCACTCTCCATAATGACCTGTATATCATAGGAGGTCAAATGAGACTGAAAAACCAATACCATATCACAAACATTGTGGAGAAGTATTCCATGGAAGAAGGAAACTGGAGAACGTTGGCTCCTCTCCCTGTGCCCTTGGCCTGCCATGCGGTGGTAACCGTGAAAAACAGGCTGTACGTCATGGGAGGTTGGACACCCCAGGTGAGCCGTTTTGCTGAACGTTTTAACATAGGCAGTGCATTATGGGCATATGGCCTGCACTTGGTATGAAGACCTGTGTGCACTTGGAAGATAAATGGAAGTCATACATTATTCAGAGAAATTACAAAAGGTGGCTCCAAATGACGCTTTTATCATGCAGTCGCCCTGCCTAATTTCTCAGATTTGGATAATTTCTTGTGCTCTTAATCCTCTTGGCTTTCTTTATTGCTTCTTCTGTTTGTTTTTAAAATTTACACACACACAGACACACAAACAAACAAGCAAACATTAAGTCAGAAAAGACAGATATACCTGTACAATGCATCTTAATTAGTAGCTGCTAGGACTATGCAGTAGAAAACAAAGCCAGTAAACACATTTTTTTAAAACTACAGCTCCCAGAAACCCTCAGGCAGCACAGACTCTATGATTCTGGGAGCCATAGTTAAAAAAACCTAATGTTTTCAAGCTCTGGTAGAAAAATGACCATGTGCCATCAAGTCAATTCCAACTTATGGCAAGCCCTTTCAGGATTTTCCCAGTAGAGAATATACAGAAATAGTTCAACATTCCCTTCTTCTGGAGGCATTAGCCTGTGCTGTTTGCCCAGGGCCATACATGCTGGCTCTACTCACAGGAGGCACAGTGGAGAATCAAACTCCCATCTAATCCACTAAGCTATCCCGCCTGCCATGATAGAAACATGACTGTATTTAATGGGTGGGCAGAACTTTATTGTTCAGATGTTTGGGCCTATGTCTCCCATTAGTTTCTCCTGGAACAGCCAGTGGCAGGCAACTCTGAGAGTTGTGGTCTAAAATATCTGAAATGCTAAAGATTCCCCTGCCACTACTATATTGGGCTTAAATCCTGTGGTGTGACCTATGGCTGCAGAATGGCAATGATGTCACTGTCAGGGGAGATTTTAGGAACTAAAGATATCCTGCTTCTATCCTGTACCTCCCACAGCTTCCATGTAATGAAAGGAACTACAGTATACAGGAATGAGGAAAGCAGCTCAATGGTTTAGGCATCTGGCTGTGGAGCCAGAGGTTGGGAGTTCAATGCTCCACTGTTCCTCCTTGACAGGGGCTAGAATTGATTATCCGTAGAGTCCTTTCCAGGTCTCCAGTTCTAAGATTTTTTTTTAATGGTCTGAGGATAGAGGTAGGAAGTCCTTAATTACTTAAAATCTTTCCCTGCTGGTGATGTCATCACCCTTCCATAGGCATAAGTTATGCAACAGGATTTCATCTTTGGTTTGAAAGGTGAGTAATGTGGCTTTTAATGCCCAGAATTAAAAATGCCTTAGATTGGTGAGTCTTAATTCTGTCATGATATTATGAAGAAAGGGGGGGGACCCAAAGGTAATACCACCTAATACAAAGAAACTCTACTACAGTTGTTACTGTACTTGGAGATCATAATTTCCTTACCATCCCCAGATGTACACACACAGAGAAAGAGTTAGTTGAGCTATTGCCCTGAAACCTGGCAACCCCATTAGCCAGTGTTTCCCCTCTATGTTCAGGAGGAAACAGCAATGCTGATTCTGTTTTCTCTCACTGATGTTCAGTGCTACCAATGGGTTCTGCAATTTTGACACAGTGCTACACATTGTCTCAAATGAGTAACACATACCTCGTGCACAGCTCACAGGTCTAATTCAACACATTTCTTCATAAGTTAACAAGAGTTTCTGGATGTTTGCAAAAATGTTTACAGACAGTTGTTCATACATAATTATAATAATACTTACTGTGTTTCCCCGAAAACAAGACAGGGTCTGATATTTTTTGCTCCAAAAAAATGCATTAGGGCTTATTTTCAGGGGATGCTTTATTTTACAGTCATGCCATCTTCTTCTGGTTGCTGCACAATAGTGGAAGGTGGGGCTTCACTTAACTGGGGCTTATTTTGGGCTGGGTCTTATATTACGAGCATCCTGAAAAACCATACTAGGGCTTATTTTTAGGTTAGGTTTTATTTTGGGGGAAACAGGGTAACATTTATCTAGTGTCTCTCCCAGTATGAAGGCTTGAAGGTGAGTGAACGATGGCTTCCCTGTGATGAGAAAGGATGCTTATAGAGAGGGCTTTTATTGTGCATTGGGATTAGGATTCTACTGTGTCTCTTTTGTGGCATTTCATAAAAGGTCCAGACATTGCCCTCCGTATCATGCAACCTTCCTGTACTTTCCTACTGCTTCTTCTGTCTTTTGCCTTACTAGGAAAAAAAATCTGTTGAGGAAGAAAAAACACAATTGTGTTTCTGTGTGTTTTGATTGATTGGGCAAGGAGCATCCTACTGGAGACATGGGAACTGTGGATTTCCCAGATCGGTCTCTTGGCTGCTATAGTGCACTAACGGTTAAGCCTGAGTTATTGAAAGACGACATGTCTCTGCTCAGTTGGTTTAGCCTGAGCATTGCTTCATCTGTTCATTGTCTGTTTCTTGGGAGTTAATGTGCCATGTTCATGCTTAGATGGCAACTCCCAGTTATTATCTCTTTAGTGCTGGGACTGGCCTTAGCAACAGATGAAATGAAGTGGCCAACTCTGAGCTCTCATTGTAGCGATCAAAAATTGTCAATTACATACGTTGCTTCCAAATGGGATGCTCCTCTTAGGGCTGTCTGAGGGCTCTCTTTCTCCACTCAGTTTGTGATGGCGAGAGAAAAAGGACAAGCACACACACACTCCTGAATTAGAATAATGCTATTTAACAGAAAGGATAAAGTGGAGGAGACAAAAGCCTCATCACTAATTGCATTTAACAACATCATTAATGGAAGTGATTAGAAAGAATACCTTTTTCCACATCTTTTAAAAAAAAACAATTGTTTGTAGGAAAAACATTAATATATCATATTCTGCCACTAGAATCCAGCAAATGAAACACAATCATACAATATTCAATGACATCACTACCCCCTCCTTTGTTTCTTTGTATCAGAGCATTGCACAATTTAAAATTATGGACTACATATATGAAATATAGGTGACATTAAAAACAAATTAAAATGTTAAGATAATTAGACTATTTTTGACCAGAAGCCAGCTACTTTAATAGTGTTATCTTGGCCATTTGCTAGATCTTCTGTTGTACCCATGGTAGGGGATAAATTGCATGCACATAAATGTTGCATTGACTGAATTTCTGCAGTCACAGAAAATTTGTCATGTATCCAAGTAGTCCCATTTTATTTGATAATTTTTTTATTTTCCTACATCACTTCAAAATCTACCCCGGGAAAAGTTATGCCAAGAAACCCCTAGCCAACATAGGCAAAAAATAGATTTTTCTAAGCTTTTAAAGTCACTGCAAAGTGTTTGCATGGGTGTGCATTTGTGTATTTGTCATTCAAAACTGATCAAAACAGTTTTAAACTCTAAAGGTTTCACAGTACATGGCCAAAGAAAGAAAGAAAGAAAGAAAGAAAGAAAGAAAGAAAGAAAGAAAGAAAGAAAGAAAGAAAGAAAGAAAGAAAGAAAGAAAGAAAGAAAGAAAAGTTTGTGCTCCTTCTCCAAAACTCAGTTGATACAGAGCCAACCTGACCTCTTTCTGGAGGAAATTCAAAGGTGCTGCTACTGAGAACATCCTGTTTTGGGTACCCACCAGATTAGTCTTTCTTGATGGTGAAATACGCAATAAGGCTTGTGAGTAAGATTACAAATTACTCAGCAGGAAGATTCAAACTTTCATATACAGTGGTACCTCGACTTACGAACTTAATCTGTATTGGAGCAGCGTTTGTATGTTGAAAAGTTCGAGGCAAACTTTTCCATAGGAATGCATTGAAAACCATTTAATCCATATTGGCTGTTTTTCATTCGTATGTCAAGGCGCTATTCGTAGGTAGAGGCATTAGTTCCCATAGGAACTAATGCAAAACTGGTTAATCCATACTCTACCACTAGGGGGTAAATTTTTTTCTTCTTTTGACCTAAGATGAACTTAGGTCAAGAAAAGGGCAGGAAAGGTTTTTTTTCCCTTTTTTCATTCGTAAGTTGAGGCTCTGTTCGCAAGTCGAAGCAACTTTTTGCAACCGGAGACGTTTGTAAGTCGAGGTACCACTGTATATGGTCACAAGTCATTTAAAGCTTCATAGATCAAAACTAGCACCTTAAACTGGTCTTGGAAACAAATTTGAAATCACTGGGATTGGTTCGTGATTGTTATTTGGATGCCAGATAACAATCTGACTATAAAGTTTTCTATTAGCTATATTTTGTGAAGCCTGCTGCATAGTTCAGAGTTAGGCATCTGGTTGGGAGCTTGAGTCCCCCCTGGGGGGGGGGAATCTGCCTATGTAGACTCTGGAAAATTGCGAAGTTTCAGAGCACCCCCAGAAGAAGCAAATGCTAAACCACTTCTGAGTACTCTATACTTGGAAAAATTCTGTAAAAAATCATCATAAATTGGAATCCACTTGCCTTCACATTTCTATTTTTATAGCTTCTGAATGCTTTTGAAGGAAAGGATTGCCAGATAGATCCCATGTTAAAGTGATTGCCAGATAGGTCCCATGTTAACAAGTTAGCATTGTTGCAGAGAAGTATTAAGTGCTAGTTAATATATGGGATGACAAATAGTGTTATAGCAAGTGTTATATTGAACACGCACCAAGTTATACAATTAAAAAAGAAAGCAAAAGCAAAAGTATTGTGGCACTTGGAAGATTAACAAATTATTTCAGTGTGATTAGAATCCATTTACTCAGACACGTGGAGTGTAATATTTAAGACATGGGCTTATATACATGGTGCACGTAGTTGTGGAATTGAGGACCAAGAGGAATGAAATACTGACCCAGGTACTGAACTTTCAAAATAATGGTACTATTATTAACTTGGTAATGATTTTCAAATTGTTGACTACACAAACCTCCTGTCAATAGGCAGAGATATAAGCAAATGTACAGTGGACCCTCTACTTATGGAATTAATCCGTATTGGAATGGTGGCTGCAGGTCAAAAAGTCTGTAGGTCGAGTCTCCA